CAACACACAACCTACTGCCTGCCCTATATAATATATAAGGCTTCCAAAAGCGCCTAACTACTATATATTCACCCTGAAGATGGCAACTGCAATGGCTATCGAAATTCCGGACATTTCTCAACATTCGACGCGACTTTCATTCCTGAAAGCCGAGGTTATGCACATATTCAAGAGTACGCCTACCGTTAGTACCAAATTTCATGAAAATCCTTCAGCAAGTTAGAATGTTATTAGAGAGAACAAACACAAAAATTATTACACAGGGCTGTTTCCTTACAAGAAAATATGCTGTGCATAATAAGAATAATATGAACATGGCCTCCTACGCTTATCAGATTCCATAATCCCAGTGTCTTTTCGTGAATTTTTTTAGGAACAGTACAAAGAAGATGCAACTTATTTATTAATTCAGCATTCATGTTTTGTTTTTGTCAGCATTTCATTCTGTTACCAGCCATGCTAAAACTAAGCCTTTGTTAAAAACTCCATGTTTTATAATTGCTTCTGATATATTTGCTTACAAACTTTCTCGTATCAGTCAAAATGATGACAAAGGTTTCCAGAAAAATATCACGTGCACCTGTGCACCACTTAGATAACCTAATTGTCACCGTTGTGAATATAATTCTACCGCAATTATTTATCCGGGAAAAAATATTTCGCATGAAAAGTTGAATTAAGAAACGAGTAAACAGACATGAAAGAAGAGACGTTGATAAACCACGCTCCAGGGCAGAGCTGAGAGACAGGATGTTAAGGGAAGTCGACTGTCTAGACCTAAAACTCAGTAAGGAGGCGGTAGTGGCCTGGTTCAAGATTTTATTTCGGCATTTGCTGTAAGGGCAGACTGAAATCCGGCTCAGATTTGAACCTGGCACTTATTAATTCCAGTGCAGGTACATTAAACCAAGCTTTTAAAAAAGATGATGTTTCATTATGAAATTTTCCTTGTTAAATATCCGGGTCGTGACACCTCACCTAATCAGAATTGCTTGTTTTGGAATATGATGGTAGCACAAATCTTTAAAGTAACAGTGTGAGAATGTAGACTGGATTCAACTGGCTCAGGATAATATCAAGTGGCGAGTTCTTATAAACTCGGCAATTAAATTTTGGGTTCCAAAACAGGCGGAAAATATATTAACTAACTGTAAAACTATCAGTTTTTCAAGAATGATTCTGCCTCGTAAGTTACTATGGAATTAACAACATTGTACTAAGAATTTTAAGTTAATTATTACTTTATAAGCGGATTTAATAACGCATAAAATGTCTGCCCGTATCTTTCTAAGCGAACTGTTGAGTTTTTCGATATTTATACTGGCGTGGAAGTACTGAAGTACACTCTCGCAATTAATACGATATCCTGGAAATCCGTGGTGCATACATGAATATATGAAAATTTAACTAATGAAAGGTTAGATCTAGCAGTCTCTCATTTTCTTGATTTATACTTTGTTACGCTCTAAGAGCGCCTTCTCTGTAACTGACGTAGTTATAGCAACGCCGTCTCGCATTTTAAGAGGGAAACATGAAGGAGAATTTATTAAGTCTCTGCGCCAAACTCAGCCAAGCGACAAATGCAGACTGATTTAAAATATGACTCTGAAACTCAAAAGTAAATTAATTTTCAACAAATGTCAACTTGATGCAGTTAATACCGCCATACAATATTTACAAGTAAAATTGTTTTGTGCATGAAGTACAGAAACAAATAAAAGTTTAGATATGGGCTTATGTAAGGAAATATAAATAGGGCGATGGCCCTTATGATGGAGGCAGCAAAAACCTATGAAACGTCGGTAAACTTCTGACTACACGGTGCAACAACCCAGAAGACAGCCAACTTCAAACTCACCGCGTGAAAATCTCACAACCTTTTTTGGTAAACTATTCGGAAAGTAATCACTTGGGAGACCGAGAAGTGGATGGTGAAATGATACAAAGATGGACTTAAGGAAAATATGTTGCTAGAAGTGTAGATATTTGGAACGCCCTCAGGATGGTAATTTCCAAAGTGTGTGTGCCATGTTCGAGTTCTACTACCAGAGAGTCGGTTGTTGCTTATTAATAACTGAATATTTTTTGGTCTCAAGTAGCATTATCACTTACATTTCCGTCTTATTTATATTCACTTAAGATTTCTGTATCCCTGTTTTTGTAAAATCGAATTCTTCGACCGTTAAAACGTTATGGTGCTTATGTTTTGTATGTAAGAAACTTTTCAATTTCACGATCGACTGTTTTCTAACCTCATTTTATTTTCTCACGTCGAAGCTCCCGGTGTCTTGGCCCCGAGGCTGATTTCCACCCGTCCCTTCGTTGAGTGTCACTGCGATCCGAGATGTGTCACCTAGCCGATCTGATTTGATCTTTGCGGGCCCCCTGGGAATATCTTCCCACATACATTCAAACGAAGTGAGAAGTTCTGGTAATCCAAATTGGGTACTGCAAGTCAGTAAAAGCTTTTTGAGCCATACAATTTGGATTAACCTCATCTCTTCTTAGCTTATCGCAGATAACTAGATAACTCTCTGCTACTACTTGTAGAGAAACTGTTCGTAGCTCACGTGCTTGTGGTTGTCTTGAGAGTATTTTGTGTATTGCTTAAAAAATTTGATTACCTTGATATATGTTAAATTAATTCATATATCTTTATTGATTACTCGCTAGGAATATGAAATACATTTAGAGACGATCCAGAAACATAAATGCATTAATTACATAGAAACATCGAACCTGAAGATGGGCCCATGCATCCGAAACATGCAGTTCGATTAACACTTAGAAAGTGTGTGTAAAAAGTGACGATTGAACAAACATCGAGTGTCTGAAGAAAACACGGGGATGTTACGCTGCAGAATTGGAAGATAGGATAAACATTAGGAAAATTGGGTGTGAGGTCTGAAAAAGCACGGAACTAGCTTAAGTCATTTCACAACGAGCGGTTCTGGTTTTAACGATGTCGATTCTTAGGGTTCTGATACATGCGAGACTTATTATTATTATTATAAATCAATTGATTGGTTGGTCCACAAAAGCCAAAACCTTCGGGCGTGTTGCCGTCATGACTCGGATGCTTGCAGGCCAGGTGAAACCGTAATCACGGCTAGAACCACGAGATAGGCGGCTACAGTGTGTTGGGATCGACCCAAGAAGCACGGCCTTTTGCATGCGGCTGAGTTATGCTTCAGCGTTACGCTGGCATGCCGGAATTTATTATTATTATTATTATTATCCCATCTCTTCACCACTTTATGGGGTATGTACTTCTATGTACCCGAGACAGACCTTGTCCCTAAGGTACATAGGGCAGCAGCTATTTCCGGGAT